GAAATACACTGCTCAAGTCTCTTGTTACATCATTAATTTCCTTCAACCTATTTAGGACAGGCTAACTTCTTTTTAAACAGGTTAGGAGAGACTTAAATCTTATTTAACTTTAGCTCCTGACAAGCTAGAAGTTTTCTTCTTTATGTGCATATGCTGTTTGAATACAAGACTGAAGGGCACAAAAGGTTTTTGCACCTGCTCAGTACTGCTTCCCAGCCCTGTGAGAAGGTGTAAGGAAGAGCTACCAGCTGTCTCTCAATTTGCCTGTGGCCCAGGGAAACATGTTCAGCCTACAGAGCTGCTGTGCTAATCCACATCCCTGCAGAAGCAACCAAGGAACCATCCTCTCCCTCAATATGCAGCCCTCCCTGCAGGCAGGTTAGCAATTTGGAATCCTGGAATCCTTTATAAGGTTATGGCTCCCTTGAAGAAAGCTCTTCCTTCTCCAAAAGGCTCTGCCAAATCTAGAGACAGAGCTCCCAGTCAGCCAAGCAGTGTGATGGGCAGATGCATACAAAACTGCTAGTACTAGTTTTGGAAGGCACTTCAGGTAATCTGTGAGATGGTTGACAAGATAAAACAAATTGACAAAAATTATCAATAAGGACAAGCTCAACTTTGGCCTAAGTTTTTTTGAAGGCACCGTAAGAATTCAGTGAAAAACCACACGTGGTATTCCTCAGCAGAATGAACACAGCTCATAATGAATCTGCATCCTCTGGAGCAAAAGCTTCAACATTTGGTGGTGTTTCTAGTGAAAACTAAGTCTATTTTTAGAACCTCCCACTGTTTACATGTTTTAGAAAGAAACACGTTTGAGTAGACAGCTTTTATCAAGCTGTCAAGTTACAATTAGCAACTGATCTGTTAGCAATTTAGGAGAAAAACAAGCATCCAGTAGCCACTGGCCCTGAACTGGTAACGTGACTGAGCCAATTTAAATAGAAATACGTTGACCACCTGTAGTTTTGGTCTCCCTGTGGCAGAAAAAGGAACTGACAAGTGGATAGAGCTGTTGTGCTTTCACCTTCATCAGAGGCTGGCAGGCAGCACAGGATGCAGGCAAAGCCCAGTGAACACAGCTTTCAAATCACCTTTAATGTGGGTTAGCTTACCCCTGCACACACCTGAAGAGCTTCTCCAGCAGCTGCAAAACCTGAATCACTCAGATGTAAAACAAAGCAAAATTCTAGCCAGGCACAGTTACCTTTGGTGGACGGCCTCTTCTTCTTTCCTGTGAATCTCCCTGAAGCTTTTCAATTAAGGGAATAGCAAAGGAGAATGTTTTCCCAGTTCCAGTTCGTGCTTGAGCAATGACATCTTTGCCAGAATACACTGGGTTGAAGGTCTTCACTTGCACAGGGAACAGGTATGTCACTCCTCGAGCTGTGATAATTTCAAGACATTTCCTTAATATGGTCATTTTACAAGTGTTCTTTCATACTCTTCAGGGGAAATTATTCCAAGGACAACTCCCATCAACTCTAAAGTAAGTCAGGACTGTATCATCACCTCCACAGATTTATTTGATAAGAGTTGACATTTGCAAAGAGTGCCCTGGGACTGTCCATTTTATTCTCCCACTTCACCAGACACAGTGCTAGCTGGGACAGAGGAAGTTATGAGCCTTTATGAAAGACTTTCAGTACTGTGCCTTTATTTATGCAGTACCTCGATTATCTGTATAAATCTCTTCCTTTCAAATAATACATATCTCAAAACCTCTTCTGTTCTTCTTTTAATTCGTACTAATTCATGTATAAACAAATGTCAAATATACTAAATATAATTGGTTTTCCTTTATTCCTACCAAAATAACTTTTAATGGAAAATTTCTCACACATTCCTTTTTTTTTTCCCTTGGCTCGTGTAATTTAGAATTCTACTGCAAAGGCTGAACTGGACAACAGTGCAAACAGCAAATCTATGTTCAAAGGTGTATTTAGAGCAGGCAACCAATGTCTCCTGCACAGCATCCATACTTGTATAGGCACAAGCAGAGCACATCTCCAAGCTTACTGATCCAGGGTGTTGAGCATAAGAACATGACAGAGATCACTGACATTCCATGGTCACACCTTACCAAGAAACTTACCTTGAAGAAGCTGGACAGTTTCTTTGGAAATAGAGAAATTGGAGAAAGCACCCTCTTTCTGCTCTCCAGTCAACTCCTGTCAGGTAAACAATAACTCAGGTTAAGATTCCACATGAATATCACATGACTGCCAGTAAATTCAAGGTAATTCAAGTAAATTCAGCATAGCCATGGGTGTCATACTCCTCAGTGACAGTGACACAGGTGCAGCTAAACAGCCTTCTTTGTTTTACCATCATATTTCAAACTTAGACAAAATTAGCAAAAGTGATCTGTAAGTTAAGGCTGTTTCATATCTAACAGCACAGCAAATGCAAAACCATCAAACCAAAGCTGGAAATTCTTAATTAGAATCATAGAATATCATGAGGGACCCACAAGGATCACCAACTCCTGGTTCTGTACAGGACAACCCCAAAAATCACATACACCTCATGATGCTGAATCATATTAAAGCTCCATCCCAGTGCAACTTGTCTGTCCAGCAAAAGCTACCACACTGACTTCACCAGACTGCTGAAGTGAGGAAACTGTGATGCACTGATCCAGCACTCCAGGACTTTCATAATTCAAAACTCTTGCAAATTCTTGGCAGGCTAATCAATTCAAGAACTTTAAATCTTGAAAATTTATAGCACTTTCGACTGATTAGGAAGAGAGGGGAAGAGAATACAACCCCTTCTAAATGTGGCCGCGTTAGAATGCAGGAATTAAGAATACATCGCTGTAACTAAAAGCAGTCCTTGGCTTTACCTGATCCTGCTCGCTCTCACTCTCGCTCTCACTTGACGTTTCACTTGAACTACTGTGTCGGCTTCTGCGGGAGGATTTGCTGCTCAAGGAGGACAATCGCGATTTCTCCAGGCTTTCCTCTTTCGTGTGACCATTCTGTTTACTGACACTCTTTGATTTCTTGGGTTTCGGGGCATAACGCTCGTCATCCGATTCCTCGCTTTCATCTGTCTGAGTCTTTCCCCTCTGAAACTTGTCCCGGCGTTTAGATTTCTTCTCCTTTTTCTCCTTCTGGCAAGGCACAGAGCAAATGAAAACACACGCTCGTGGATCCAAGCGACACGGAACAGAGAAGAGGGCGCAGAACAGTTAAAGCTTGAGGTGCACGTTCTAGATACTGACGGGGGCGGTGGCTGACACAAGGCAACAGATCCCTGCCGGCCGCCGCCGCTCAGGAGACACGTTACCGACCACGAGACAACCGGGCCTTCCTTTCCGGGGCTCTCCCCCGCTCCGGGCGCCGGGCTAAGCGCTTCCCGGGCTCCCGGCTGGCTCCGGCAAGCCCGGCGCATCCGGCGGGGCCGCCCCGACACGCGGTGAGGCCGCGGCCCGGCCCGCCCGCGCACGTGGCCGCCAGGCCCGGGGCCGCCCCGCGGCCACGCCGCGCTCACCTCGCCCGGCCCGCGCCACCGGCGCTGCGGGTGGCCGCGATCCTAGGCCAGATTCGCCACCAGCGTGCGGGCGCGGCCAGGCCGTACCCGGAGCCCTTCCCTGGTACCTTGTGCCGCCGGCGGCCGCTCTCCGGGACCGCCTCGGTGTCCATCGAGCAGTCGGAGCCCGACTCGGCCCCGCTGCTGCTGCTGCTGCACCGGGTGGCCTCGGGCATCTCCGCTCGCCACCGCCGCTGCTCCGCCACGCCGCGCTCCGCAACAGCCGCGCGCCCGCCTCGCGTCACGCTCCGAGCGGCCGAGGTGCCCCGGAGCCAATGGACGGCGGATGCGGCAGCGTGGGGGTGGGGCCGCGCCGTCCAACAGCCAATCGTCTGCCGCCGTCGGCGTGGGACCACAACTCCCGGCGTGCCCCGGGGGGAGCAGCGTGAGGACTACAAGTCCCGGCGTGGCCCGCGCGCACCGCACGCTGTGAGGGGGCGGCCGCCATGACGGGTCCGCCATGAGGGCTCGGCCTGGCCTGCTGCTGTTACCAGGGCGCCTTCCCTCGAACAAATCTCCAGTAGCTTTACAACCCGATGACTTTAGCCTCCCTAACTACCGCAGAGAAGTGTTCAGTAGGGAAAAGTCTAAAGTAGGAAAGAATAGCGTGACCAGATGATTAAGATTTAAAAACCACAAGCCTGTGGTGATACGCAGCTTGAGCCTAGCACAGTCTGCTTACTGGCATAAATCAAGAGGAAGAAGTCAAAATTAGGCTTAGGAACTAAAAGCTGTGAAGCAATCCTGACAGCTGCCAGGATGTCGATTCTTTATGGAATAGCAAGGTCAGGATCAGAGCAGGGCCTCTCCCACAGCAATGGCACTGGCCTTACCTTTTGTCTTCTGCCACCAATACATTTTCGTTTTCAAAGAGCAAACGCTGCTTGACAGATACACACCAAGCAGACTGAGGAGAGCTGAGACTGCAGCAGGACACAGTGGGAGAACCTTGGGCTTGAAGGACCGTTTGTAGTGTCCAGGTGCGTGTTCAGTTCATTTGCTTGGTTTTCTAGCAGGGACGGTGAAACATGCACTAATTTCTGTGGCACAGGTAGGAAACACTTTCCAGAGTTAGAGTGTACAACAGCCCTGTCCAACTGCAGTTCTGTTAGAGCAACACAAACCCTTTCCTGAGGTCAGTGGTGTGGTCTGAATAAAGAATGCCAGTTCTCACTTTTATTATCATAGGAACACACAGAAAAATAATTAAACATGAGGGCAAACAAAATACACGTGGCCTCTCCAAACACTACTGTCAAAAGTTTTAACTCACAGCTTTGATTTAGGGACTGCCTCACTGATTTGACCAGCTGCATTTACAGTATGATTATCTTGTTACAAAGGGAAGGTTCACCAATCTCTAAAAAATAATCAAATATTCATGACCAGAGTTAGCTGAAGTAAGGAATTTTGTTGCAATTGTCCTTTCACTTATCCTCCTTTTTCCATTGTTATTTATGCTTTTAGAATTTGGCAGGAAGCTTCATCTTCTTTTCAGTCCACCTAAAATAATATAATTATTACAAGTCAGACTTCACATTCCAAAAATGAACTGAGTTGGCTTAGCTTTTAGTGCCACAGGTGGCATCAGTGCAAACAGTCAAAGTGACCCTTTGAAATGCATTTTGCTAAAGATTTCAAGTCTTCATGTCCAGATAATACACAGGAAATGTGTTTGGAAGAGTTCACAGCCAAGAGCTGCTCTAGGGAAAGATTAACAATCAGCAGGATTCCCTAAGAAACTGTTATCAATTATCACAAAACTGTAGTTTGTGGTTTGTTGCTTCATATACTGACTTCTCAAGGTGACAGTACAAATCTAATGAGAACTCCAATGGTTCAATTACAGTTAAATACCACTCATTTAAGATATTAAGAATGTGTGTTGGTATAAAAAAAAAAGTTATTTTTAACATAGTGCTTGCCAATCTAGTTAAGTTATGGAGGTCTCCATGTAGAACTGTGTAAAAAATTGTTTCATACAAATTTATTTTCCATGAAGGGATTTTCAGGTGTAATTACTGTGAAATCTCAGGTGATGTACACATTCTATCTGTTGTGGGCAAGTCAAGTGGTATTTTCTACTTTAAATTTCTGCTGGGTCTCTATTCTTCATGTACAGCTGGAGAATCTGTGACAATATCTAATGTCATATGGGGAGATCTGTGTGAGCTGAACCTGCCTGCTAGCAGGAGCTTATCAAACACCATGTTCCTTAACATTTCTGTCCTTGGTCATCTCTACCTGCAGGACAGAGCTCATGCTGTTTTCTTGCCTCATTAAAACAAGTGTAAAATACAAGCAGCAGCAATTTAGGGAGAATGTTCATGTCAAAAGACTTAGCAGAACTAAACAGATCATAACGCTAAAGTTAAAAAAAATAATAATTTTGTTGTTGAGGAGTGGGTTTGTGATTTACTGCAACATTTCTTCCTAAATCTGATGGCCAATTTGAAGATAAAGCATCTACCTTAGTGTCACGTGTTTTCTTACCTTGGGGAGTCAATTCCACTGTCTCCTGTAATGCTGTGGTTTTCTGTCCCTTCTGAGTGTTTCTGTTCTGGGGTCACAGGACAGGTATTCTTTAAGAGCCACTCTTTTTTTCCTAGAGTGTTTCTGACTCCTTTGATCCCTGAGCCCAAAGCGCAGCGTGCTGTTCCTTCTCCCACCTCGCGGGCGGAATTCTGCCAAGCGCCGGCATCGGAGTCAGCCTCGGCGGCGCGGCGGGGATCTGCCACAGCTGAGCCCTTCCCACATTCAGTGAGGCCGCTTTCCTCATCCTTCCTGTGACCTTGCAGAAGAACCTGGCTGCACAACCAGCTTTCTTCTGTGCAGTCTGCTTTTGGATGCTCCTTTGAGCCACCGAGGCTGGCACTTCCCTTATATCCGTGCTCTCCGGAGTCGTGTTTATTTAAAGTCGCGTCGTGCTGGGCAGGGCAAGTACTGACCTCACAGGCTTTTAGGGACACAGCTCTGCTGCAGTCTCGTGTGTCTGAAAAGGAAAGGCCAGGGGACAGGTGTTCAGAATTCTCATCCAGATGTGACAAGTTACAGGTGTCACCATCACGTCCCTTTCGATACAGAAGATCAGTGAATCCTTCACTTTCCAGTTCCATTGATCCAGTTTGGCTGGCACAGTCATAGTTAAATATAAGTTCACTCTTTTTATCAGTCTTTGGTCTGTATTTCACACCATTCTTTTGGGCCAGATTAACACTGGCTGTGTCATTTGAAAGATGGATATTTTGAAATTCCCTGGCTGTTCCATCTATCAGCTCACACACAGCATCACCTTTGCATCTGCAACGCTCATCTTTCAGGGAGAATGGAAATTTTGCATCTTCTTTGCACTCACCTTTATCTTCAGTGTAGGAGCAAAGGGACTGTTTTTTTACTGTTCTTTTATAGACATTTTCTTCAGAAATATTACTCTCCAGAAAGTATTTACTTCTGTTATCTCTTTGCAGATTACTGCCTTGTGCATAACTCCCATTTTCCCTTAAACCGCCTTTCTTTAACTGAAGGCCAGACCTATTAGCATGGAGTAGGTTGTTTTGCTTAGCTTTGTCAGCCTCACTTTCCACATCCAGCTGTTCAGTTCCACAGCCAAAGGGTCCTGAGGAGGCCAAGGACTGTGGCCTTTGGGAAGCCCTTCCCTGCTTTGGAGCCCGGCCCTTCAGCTGGCTGTTAACAGCACCTTGGTACCCTCTTGCATGAAAGCTGCGAGGTCTCCATGGCAGACCCTGGAAAGGATTCTTAATCTGCTTCTTATAGATCCCATGGCATTCCACTGCTGCATCAGCTGCCTCTTGGTTTTTGCTGGGCAGTGGAAAGTTCTCTTCTGGTTTGACATTTTGGGATTTCCTGCTGCTCCTGTTAATCTGCTTTTCTTTCTTTGATTTGGTTTTCCTGGTGCGTTTTGCTGTTTTACTTGGTGCCTTTTGCACACAATCTTTTGAAAGATGGTTTTGCCTGACTGTTGGCACTTCAGCCGAGGTACCATTACTGATGTGTTTTTTCTCTTTATTGGTACATTTTTTCTGCTCCTCAAACTTCTGCATTAATATCGTGTGTTTAATCAAATTATCAACTGTAAGAGTAGGGTTAATACGCTTGATGATTTCATGTTCGATATCACGTGGAATATTGTCTAAGTCATCTTCATCTCTGACTGGCCACTCCTGGGGAGGAAACTGGGCTGAAAAAGTGCAGTACTCCTTTTTGTGTTTTTCTTTTTTAGAACCACTTCTCCAGAAAAGGCCAAGGCCAAACATTTTGCTTTTCAGTTTTGCTTTCACAGATGTCAGGGATTTGATGGTGTCCCAGGAGCGGTTCTCAGCAGATGTGGAGATGCCTTGAGCTCGGATTGAGGGCTTCAATTCACTGCAGCCTCTCCTTCCCTCTACATTAGATTCATGGCTCATTACCTGCCCATGTCTTTGCCCACAGAGCATATTTTGGTCAGGGAAACAATGGCAGGACCTGTAATGGGATATTGTAGGAATGTTTTCTTTCACTAGGTCTGCACAAGGCGTGATGTTTACCAGGTAGGTGATGGAAGGTGATGAACAGCAGCAACTGTCCTCCAACACAATCCTTCTGCTGCCTTCCATGGCACCATTTGTGATAAAGTATGTGCTGGGAGTCACAATGAAATATCCTTCTCCTGTATGATAGATTTTTCTTTCCTTAATTAGAGTGCCAAGGATATTATATAATATGTTGTGGGAGGGCACTGCAATGCCTACAACAAAGAGACAGATACTTCAAATCAGAAATAAGTTTTCAAATAAAATGGGTGCTGGCCAAAAGATCTCTCTCATACAACAGCCCTGAAATCAACTGACAATTAAATACCCAAAGCATTTAGGTGAAGGCCAGCTGTGTCTCTGGTTGTCACTGTGAGGCAGCAAGGATGTTGTCTTTGTGTCTGTCAGGATATGATATTCATGAGAGAGACTTTCTGCCACGTACAGACCAAACAAAGACTTGGCCAAAGCATTTCCCTCCTGGCATGTTTTTTTTACAGGGGCTTTCATCACTCTCTGAAGTTTCTGGTGTAGTTCTGTAATTTATTACCTCACTGAGACTGGTCTCAGCTACTGTTTCCCATCAGGTGTCACAGTCTCAAAGTCCTTAGTCGAGTTACAGCTTACCTTCTGCCCACAAAATTAAAAACTTCCACTAAGGTGAAAGCAAAGCAAGAAATACCTTCAAGACCCTACAAACTTTGAGAATGCTACTTCTGGCTGACCTACAAATTCTACCTTGTGGTTCTCTCAGTACCCTTATTAACTGCAACAAATTTCTGGCATGGTTCTGTGGCAGTTTGTGGGGTTGCATTAATATTTTTCCCACTGGTTAAATGCCTACCAGATCAGCCTATAGCATTTGCAGAGCTATAAGGTGAAGAGGACTCAAAAAAGCAGCTCATTATCAAAGCAAGCAGCCTCCTGAGAGGGCTAGGATGTGTCTCTACAAGGTCTCAAACACAATAAGACTTTGATATTGCAGATCGAAGGGAAATGGGATATCTTTCAGATGAACAGAAAACATTTAAGGGAAGTGGCTGCCACCCCATAAGAATCACAGAATATTCTGAGTTGGAAGGGACCACAAGGATCATCAAACCCAACTCTTAAGTGAACAGCCCATATGGGGATCAAACATGCAACCTTGGCATTATTTGCACCATGCTCCAAACAATAGGGCTAGAAGCAAAGAACTGATGATTACTTACTGTAAATCATTTGCTTTCAGGAAGGCAGAGGCTGGAATATGACCAACACACCTGAATGTGAGGCTGGTTATATTTTTTGATAGCAAACACCAGATGTAGACTCCTACCCAGTCCCTTTGCAGTCAAAGTCAGCTGTGTTCCTGTCTCCTAAAGGAGGACTTGGAGTCTCTTTTATGCTGTTCCATGTCTAGCACCTAAATACCATTTCTGTGCTTTCCCACCCTCTACAAAGGGCACACTCTCAACATGCTCCTACAGTCAGTTCCCTCTTATTCTCCAAGATTCATTAAAATCTGTGGAGAGGATTGCATCCAAGTCAATGTAGTGACACTCACAGATTGATGATAAATATGCACATTCAAATATTCTATCAGTTGCCTGTTAACTTGTACTCCTTGTACCTTGCCAGCTTTGCTTGTAAACATTCCCTGATCCCTTCTCCAATATCAGAAACTCATGCTGGATGATGCAGACACTTTTTTAAGGAGGGAGGAACAAACAAGTTACCTGGATAGTTTTTCACTAACTGCTCTGTTAAAGTTTCCTGAGTGACCATCACATGATCTGCATTCATGTCTGATATGGTCTGGCATATTCCTTCTGCCAAAGGAACAGAGTATGACTGCGAGAGAGCATTCATGACAGCAGGGGTCACATCACCTAAAAGGGAAAAAATTATTTGAATGGAATAATACTTCATTTTTTCTATTAGCTGTGAAAGATTTCCACCAAAAACTTCCCTTAGCCTCAGCTAATTTTCTTTGGCAAATTACTCAGCAAATATTTCTGACAGGAGGGAAGTGGTGCTAGCACTTGTCAAGAGCCTTTGTAATGAAGGAAACAGAAGGTGCCTTAAGCATGTTAGTTCGTTTGGTATAAAATTCTAGCCAAAGCCATAATTTAGATTAATAAACAGGGAGAGAGAATTGTTTCTGATGGCTGATGATTTTTTTAGAAGATTGCTTACTTGTTAAACCATGCAGAACCTGTATTTCTCCAAGGAGCTAATAGGAAAAGGTCAACATCCAACGATCTAAGTACAAAATGTCTTCACTAAGCCAGAACACAAGGAAAAAAATACAATTAATAGGCTTTGTCCCTTGTCTAGCACGTAAAATTGAATAGAAATGGTAAAATGCCACTTTTAGACTCAGTTCTAGAACTAGATTATTTAGTATACTGGGTAGAGAGCAAAAACTCTTATTACAACTGCATGCATTTTTAGGCTGCCTCACTGTCTGACCTGGTGAGAGACAAAAACATGGTTCTTATTCTGCATGACAAAAGCAGAAGTTTGGAGAGGGCAAGAGTGAGGCTCATCTTCCCCAGTAACTCTGCAACCCCAGCCCAGAGGGCTGAAAAAGGTTTTAGTCCTTTACCTCAAGTCCCCCATCCATAAAACACGGATAAACTGTGACCTCTCCCCTTCCCAAGGTGGCAGAGGCAGTGAGGACAAGCCCAGTAAATATTTCTGATACAATACCTGTGAATGATGCAGCTGAAATAAGTTTTTTTTCCCTGAAGCTGTTGAAGCAGGGACTCACCTGAGGTCTGTGCACACAGTGAGACAATGAGTTCTCTCATACACCTTCTCAGACAAAACAAAACAAAAAAACAAACAAAAAACGCTTTCCTCTTTTTTTCAGTTCGAGGCATGGTCCATTCCCACGAGCAGGTGATGCTGTGTGCTCCCCTGTCCGTGCTGCACAGAAAGCCCCTGGCTGTGCCCAGCTGCCAGGGCAGGCAGAAGGCACCAGGGACTCCTGCTTCCTCCACAAGGCATAACCCAGTGTTAAACACTAACAGGAATTTTGAGAAAAAAGTGACATTTTAGATTAAGCTACGTTCACGTTTAACTAAACCACGGTTGTCTATTGGATGACACTGTAACCCAATATTTATCCTCTAGGCAGAGAACTACAACACAAACACTTCTCTGGGTAAATGTAATACACAACATTGCTTTGAAGAGGCTTGAGTTGCTCTTGACCTTTGTTTTACAACTGCTTCTATATTCAACAAAAAGAACTCTGAAAAGAAAATCCTGGCACACAGTTTCCTCAGTGGTGTTGCTAGGAAACTCCTTGCAGGTGCAGAAACCATTGCAAGCTTTCTTTTTCTGTGGGAAAGGCCATCAGCATTCAGTAATGACTCTTGTGAATAGTTTGCCGTCTGAAATCTCTGCTGCCGATTTCACCATTTGTTCCTGCAGAGCATCAGGCTGCTAAGGAGTAAAATACCAAGTGTAATTAAAATTTGTTCATTATCTTGATAGTTATTATCTTGCTGCTGTTGTCTGTATCTGTTCTGCAGCATCAAATCTAGTATCTCCATTCAGGGAAGGCTGTTTCAGAATAATATTTAAAGCATTAAGCAAAAGCTAGCTTGATACTGAAGGAGTTTTTTAAAATCTAAAATAATTTGTTTGAACACAAATCTAAAATATTGCAGAATTAATAGTGCATACATGCTAACCACATAAATATCATTCTCTCCTGACTTGGAAATAAAATCTGAAATTGTGAGAGCAAGAATTAGATCATTGGCAACACTGATAAGCAATGTGGGTGAAGGCCCAGGCAGCACCCTACAAGTGTCTATCAAGTTCCTATTAAAAACTTGATAGATTTACTTTGCATAGCTAAATAAATGTAGTTGCACTTCAAGTAGTCTCCCAAGTTTGTTGGAAATACTTAAAAGCTGCACCCCTTAGGTTTGCACATGGAGAAGACTTAGCAGTTTGTGCAAGCTGTGTCTCACAGGCCTGATGCACAATCACCACACCACCATGCTCATTAGGGCTCCCTAGCATCTGTCCTTTTACAGCTCAAAAACCCCTGCAGAGTGCCCTGCCCACTTCCCTACTCTGCATCAATCTGGGGACAGTCACCTTCCTGCTGCCTTCATAGTCCTGGGAGGGCCTTGCTTGCACCTTTGTGCAGGGCACCTGCCAGCAGTCAAGGAGCTCAGCTTTTCCCTTGCTGGTTTCAATGCAGCCTCCTTCCCTTCCACACACTGCAGGTTTTGCTAAAGCCAATCTGGGCAGCTGCCCAGGGCTCAGGCATTCTTACCCTCCTGTTTGCTTTACAGGTCTGCTCAAACTCTGCTCATTGCCTGGACACCCAAAACCCAAGAATTCCCTTTTTGGAGCATTTATTGATGGCAGTGTGGGGGGACATCTGTAATATGAGCATTGGGTAACAAAAGTCAGCACACAGAAAAGCCTCTGGGTATTCTTGACCAGCACAAAGTCATTTTTGTTCCACCTCTGTAATGTGAGCATTATCTTTTTATCTGACTTGTTTAACAGTTGCAGAGTTTCTGCATCTTTAGGCTCTTTAGAAAAATTACATACAAGACAAGTTTATCTGGGTGAAACCCAGGCTAATTTTGCTGAAGTGAACAGAGAGGCATTTATTACAACAGCACTCAATTTACTTCTTGAAAGTTCAGGTAAACTGTTTACAGAACAACAAAGGGCTGGGAGTAAATCCATTCCAGGAAAAAAAAAATAATAAAAAAATCAAAGCATCTGTTGGGCAGAGAAGACACAGCATGTGGAAATAGAAGATTGATGTTTCTGTTTTGTAGTTGGGAGAATCTGTCATGGGATGGATTATACAAAAGATGCCACAGATCCTGTGCCTCTCTGCATGACAGCCTTGGCTTGTTTGATGCAATTCACTTTTTACAGAATTGTACCAGGAAGATCATAAGCAAGAGCAGAACTGCTACCAGCTGCAAGGCTTTTCTATAGCAAAAATCACATCTATAAAGAATTTTAAAGAATATAGTTAATAAGAACATCATAGAAATTTGAGAACTCTAGCAAAACCCTTTTTGAACATTAATGATTTTACAATATATGTTCTTATTAAAGAATAAAAATTCTATGTAAATTATAAAGACAGTTAAGATTAACATTTCCCAATTTTAAGTATATAACAGAGAAACTCTATGTTGACACAAGTACTCTGTATTAGTGCTGTACTAGGTCCTGTTTTCAGAAACATCCTTTTACTGGAGCTAAGGGTAAATAGTTCAATTAAATGAAAATGTCAAATCTTGTAATGTGTCCAGTCTATTACTGAAACAAACAAAAGCTCTCAGGAACAGCAAACAATATCTGTTGTTTATTTTGTGCAACTCTCGAAGAAACAATTAAGTGTCAGTTTAAGGTCACCAACACTTCAGTTGACATCAAAGAAGTTAAAAAAAACCATGAAAATGTCAGATTTCTGTACCTGCTGATTGCTGCCAGGACAGACACTCCCAAACCCGGACACTTAGGCAGAGTGCCCTCCATTTATTCACAATTTCTGGTTTTTACAGTCCACGACTTTCTATGACTAATCTTTACTAAGTTCATATTAACTTTTTATTCCTTAAAACTTTCAAAGGATGATGCCATGCAACTCGATAAGAAGTAAACAAAACCAACAACAACCAACCACTTTTTCTGCCTTCCCAACAGTGCATAAAGGCCTATTCCCAAATGCCAGTGTTAAGAACTTTGGGAAATCCGACCTCTAAGTGAGGTTCCTACCCAAGAGACATCATGAAATCCTTACTCTAATCGTAGTCCTACTGGCTGCCCACAGCCATAATTACTTTCACCAGCAATTAAAAAAACCCACAGGCAGATATGATGAAAACAAAGCAAGATCCAGGAAGAATAGGAAAAGCTCTCTCCCAGCCTGTGCCCAAGTCCCTGGACAGGAACAAGGCACACAGCAAACACCAACACATTCAGTGTGGTACAGTTTTCCTTAAACTGAGCAGAGAGGGTAAAGTTTTGCCATTGAAATGTGCATCTCTGACCTTCACAGAGATGAACCCCTTGAGCTCTTAGCAAGGCCACTGACCTGTCCACTGGGATGCTCCAAGAGCATGTCAGGAGCAGGTTTCAAGCTCCAGAGGTACTGCCTGAACACGTTGGCAAGAATGCAGCTCCAAATGTGCTGTTCAAGAGAACACAGCCCAAGGTCTCCAGGGATCTGCACTTCACCCACAGCTGGCACAACAGCCAGCAAGAAAACTGCACCAGCACATCCACCTTTGGGACATTCACTGCACAGCTGGCAGACAAATTCAACTATGAGCACTGCAGATAATTATTTTTCATATGATGCAGCATACTGATGGCTTTTAAGTCAATTCATATATGCATTGAACACACAGAGCACAGCTGATAGCAAGGAGGGTCATCTTGAATCTTTCCAGCATTTAGTGTCAGGCTTGGTGGTAAAAGACAGATGGATTCAAAATGTTCATTGCAAGGAGATAAAAAAATAACACAAAATTAAACAGGCCCAAGCGAGTTGCAAAACAGCCACCACGGAGCCAAACAACAGAACAGGAATAAACGAGCCCCTGGCAATGTCTCTGACTCCTTTAACTGTCCTGAGGTGCTGCCATCCACTGCTGCAGGAATTTGACACAAGCACAGCTTTTTTACTTGGCCTCATCCAAAAAATCCCCTTCTCAACCCTGGCATTTCCCCACTAAAACTGCTCTGCCTTTTCCTTGCTTCCAGCTGTGCCCTCTCTTCTGCAATAAATCTCAGAAATTCAAATAGCTTTTGAATGTCCAAACCTTTGTTCTAAGCAGCAAGCAGTAAATGGGGGTTGGCTAGGTACTTACCTCTAGAGTGAAAGATTGACTCTAAAAGCATTGGGATGAAGCTGTGCATTCCTGTGCCTGAGCAGCCAAAGGTGAAGGCAGTATCCCTGCTGCATCCTCTGCCTGCAAGTGTGCTGCCACATAAAAGGCAGACATGAAAAGTACACAATGTAATTCTTGGAAATTGGGTGTGGCTATGGCCTTGTTTCCCCTCCCCAGAATGAAGGGAAATTCCCTGGCTTCAGTTCACATACATCCCAGCCCAGGGAAGTCACATTCTAGACTTTCAGAGGAGCAGCACTCACAGAGCTGTTCAAGAGAGCACAGATCCCTGCAGAGGTTTTCCAGGAAATCACAGATCATGACAGCTCACTCCAGGCGACAGAGAGCTTGTGCAGTGCTTCCCTTGGACCGGGGACAGGAGCCACCATCACAGCACAGTGGAACCCAGCAGGCCTCAGATCTTGTTTTAGGACAAATCCCATTGCAGAGAGGTTTTGCATTCAGCTGAGAATAAAAATTTTATAGTGTAGAGGCAACTTCACACCTGCCTGGGAAGCCCGGGGTGTTGATGGATGTGCACAACCCAGTTTTCTCTCCCTAAATGGATATCAAACTTGAAGGAGTCCCCATTGCTAGAA